TTCGAAAAGGTGACCTGTGGCTGTGCAGCTGGAGTTGCTGCTGCTTTTAGAGCTCCAGTTGGAGGTGTATTATTTGCATTGGAGGAAGTTACATCTTGGTAACGGAGTTCTGTTCTCAACTACTATTTAAATATGCACAAGCATGTTTAGGTTAGGACTAAACTGTTCTAATTAATTTTCTTTTATTTCCATCTTATATTCAGTTAAACAATTATATTTTCCTTTCCATTCATGTGTAAGTGTAGATATAGATCTGTATGGGTATATGTTTTGTGCTTATGCATATAGCTGTATTCAACTCTAACCTAAACATGTGGCATGTCTTTCCTTTGAAGGTGGAGGAGTCAACTAATGTGGCGTGTCTTTTTCACTTCTGCAATTGTGGCTGTTGTGGTGCGTGGTGTGCTATGGGATGGTGTAAAAGTGGAAACTGTGGACATTTGGTTCTGGTGGCTTCATTATGGGATATATCCGAGTTAGTATCTTCCTCAAGCTCTTGTACATTAACTCCGCAGACATTTTACTTAGCTTTAAGCTTACCGCTTCAAAACATTTTATTCTCTTTTTTTCATCCTGTAGTGGTCAAGAGGACTATTCTTTTGAGGAATTATTGCCAATGACACTTATTGGGGTCACTGGAGGTCTTCTAGGTAGAGCTTTTGAATTGGGTTTCCCATCTATTCTATATTTAATCTTAGTTTCTTATTTCTTAGGTATCTTTTTATTAATATTTATCTTTCTATTGAGCCCAGGAGCTTTGTTTAACCAACTTACTATATGTAACTCGCTGGAGACGTAATTATTTGCACAAGAAAGGGAATCGAGTTAAGGTGAGGAATTCCTGTAACTGTAGAAACTGCTTGGATTCTCAATTAGCATATCTAATGTCTTTAACTACAACATCCCGCCTACTGGTGTCCAAAAAAATTATTGCAGATATATGAAGCATGCCTATATCTGTTTTAACGTCAGTTATATCTTTTGGACTACCACTACTAAGAAACTGCAGTCCATGCCCAGACTCTGATCCTGGCTCTGAAATTGAATGTCCAAGGGCTCCCGGAGTGGATGGGAATTATGTGAATGTAAGATATGCTCATATAGTTACATACTGTATGCATCAGCTTGATGTGCATGATATGCAAGAAATTTCCTTACTTTTCCAGTCACGATGCAGCTTCCCTTTGATAAATGCTTTTTCTGTCCAGTTTAAATATATTTTGGAAAAATGACTGGTTTTTCTTTGCTAGTTTGTCAGATAAAAATTACTACCAAGAGAATAATTCAAGCTTGACTTGTTTACTGTAGGGACAAAGAAAAGCAGCATCCGAAGTTAGAACATAGAAACTTGAGAAAATCTTTGTCCTTACTTTTTGTCTTCTAGGAAATATATCTCAAGAGCTATCATCGTCATACATATATATTTCTTTTTCCGATGAGTTTTTATCTTGGAGAGGGAGAAAATATTTTGTTCTTTAAATCTCTCTTTTTTAAGTTTTGATTGTTAATTTACATTGCGGTTATTTTTCCTTAATTTGATTTAATGTTATCTGCAGTTCTACTGCAGTAAGGACAAGGAATACAACGATCTTGCAACTATCTTCTTCAATACTCAGGTCTCTAAATCTTTTGAGATACATCCTTTCCGTTGAAAAACCTACTGGCCCTTTAGTTTCTATTTTAACAGGTTTTATATCTGTCACAGGATGATGCCATCAGGAATTTGTTTAGTGCAAAACAATTCATGAGTTCAGTGCCCAAAGCTTGCTGACATTTTTGGTAGTGCTCTGTAAACTTGTTGACTTCCTTTCAAGTATACTTATAATGTATTTTAGAACCTTATTCCTTACAAGTATACAACTGAACTCATGAGCCAATTTTTTTTACCCCTGAAATCATTTGTGATCTGGTTTTTTTTATCCCTTTGAAATGATTTTATCAGGTTATGTTCTACACCTTAGCAGTAGTGACATTTGGTACAGCTGTTCCAGCTGGCCAATTTGTTCCTGGAATAATGATAGGATCAACATATGGCCGTCTTGTTGGTGTTTTGACTGTTAACCATTACAAGAAGCTCAACATTGAAGAGGGAACGTAAGTAAATTGTTTGCTTATATCCATATCTATACTCATAGCTATTACAGTTTTACTCACTTTCTACACTTCATTAAAATCCATTTAGAAGCTCGGTCTCAGCTTCTCCTCTTGAGAGCAAATGATGATTCATGTGCATAATGAAAAAAATTGTTATAGACAGCAGAAGAAGAAATAAAGCTGAAACTAAATTAAGAGACTGTAATTAGTCTATTTAATTTTGAAATATGCTTGTTGAGTATGTGTGTGTAAAGATATCTTAATTATGCAATTATCGCTGCCCATGATATGATCTATTTTGAATGTTAACTATACGGCGTTTGTAATTGCTTTTCTACCTTCTGTTCCCAAGAGTCTCACCTTTCTTGTTACATATCTCACAAATTCAATGCTAAAGTGTTTTATAATTTGGTGGATTTGCAGATATGCACTTTTAGGAGCTGCTTCATTTCTTGGGGGTTCTATGCGCATGACAGTATCTCTGTGTGTCATTATGGTCGAGATCACAAATAACTTGAAATTTTTACCTCTTATTATGCTTGTTCTTCTCATTTCTAAGGTATTTATTTGAATAAATGTAGCTTTCGCTGCTTCTCACTTGATGTGATTTAACAAGTCCTTGCTCTTTTTTCTCCCAGGCTGTTGGTGATGTTTTCAATGAAGGTTTATATGATGAACAAGCACGCTTGAAGGGCATTCCATTGCTGGAATCAAGACCCAAGTATGAGATGCGGAAAATGACCGCTAGGGAAGCCTGTGGGAACCAGAAGGTTTGTTAATCGACCCTTTTAAATTAGTTTCGCTGGCAAAGATGAACTATTGTCTCAAAAGTAGATATGATCCGAGAATTATGTGAAAAATCATGTTCAACAGTACAACTTTGACCTGGTCCTATTGGTTTGACTCCCAAGCCCTAAGCAGCTTATATTCCTACCTTCACAGGTTCTTTCACTTCCTCGGGTTGTAAAGGTTGCAGATGTGGTTTCCATTTTACGGAGCAATGAACATAACGGCTTTCCTGTAAGCTGAACTCCATATTTCTTGTTTCTCTACTTCAGTATGAGCAATTTTGAAATTTGTTTAATTTCACCTGCCTAGGTGATTGATCACACGAGAAATGGAGACCCACTTGTCATTGGACTTATGCTTCGAAGGTACGACAAAATAACTTATTTTTGCTCCTTGATGTTTCAGTCTTTATTTTGTAGAGCCAATGCACACTCAAAAGAATTAACTTCTGCATTTGTTGTAATGCAGTCACCTACTGGTACTTCTTCAATCCAAGATTGATTTCCAGCATAGTCCTTTACCTTGTCATTCCACGGGCGGACCCAGAGCAATTAGGTGAGTCGAAATTCGCTATATTTAAGATTTTATTGTCACTGTCTTTTATTCGGTTAAGCTTAAAGCTAAATGGGTCCCCATTATTACAGGCCTAATTTCAGTGAATTCGCTAAACCCGTTTCGAGTAAAGGAATATCAATACGATATTTATCTTAGTTCAGACGATTTAGAAATGTACATAGATCTTGCACCATTTTTGAATCCTTCGCCGTATGTTGTACCCGAAGATATGTCTTTAACAAAGGTGAGTTTTTCGATTTCATCTCAGATTAGCGTTTGTCAGCTATGGTATATGTCTTGTATCTTATCAAGTTTCACTGTTTGTGGGTGGTATAGGTCTACAATCTTTTCCGCCAACTAGGATTGAGACACTTATTTGTTGTTCCTCGTGCATCTCGAGTGATCGGTGTGATCACTAGGAAGGATCTTCTGATTGAGGAGGTATTTCGAGCTGCAACGGGCCATCAAATTTTTCTTAAACATTCAACTCGGATCGCAATAATTGAACCTTGATCTTTTCCCATTGCAGGAAACTGTGAATTCAGCAACTATGGAGCTCCAGTCTACTAGTGTAAGGTCTCTACGCTGCTTTACTGTTTAGTGATTTAATTTCTGCCGTCATGACACCATTTCAGTACCCACATGGATTTTAAGTTAGAAAAGGGATTGTTATTTCGAGTCGATGTCGGCATAAGAACTGAACTTTCCTTCCCGAGGAAGGAAAGCCAGTTTGGCATTGTTTGAATAGTGTTTTAAGATTGTTTGGTTTAAAATCGAAGTGTTTAGCATTGCAGTCGAAAAGTGTTTTAAATAGTGACCCCGCAATGTGTCTGTACGATATCTGATCCTAATTAGTCGATCAACAGATCGGATATCTATGATTTAACCCTAACTAAAAGCACTTTTGGTATGAAAATCTACCCGTTTTCATTGTTTTTGGTCCGAAAAGTGCTCAACTTCAATCACACTTTTGAAAAGTAATGGAAAACAGGGTCTAAGATGAGATCACAATTTAGACATTACACGACAAAAAATAACATGAATACCGTAGTATTTATACTAAATGAATGGCTAATGTATGCATGTATGTTGATGTATATTTACATGTATATTTGGGTATGGAAGAGGTCAGGGACATGAGAGAAGATCGGCGGTAGAGAATGGTGCAGATTTAGAGCGGCCGCTTCTGAACGGCCTTCTGGTTCAACGTCAGAGGTGAAGATCTACTCCTGCTTCATTCTTCAATTGTTTTTGTGTTCTAACATCCGTCTACCTCGAGATCAATTTTTTTTTTCTACATGGATTTTCTCCATGAATCTCATTAACTCACTTGTATCATATTTTTGTAAAATATATATTGTAAAATGAAAGAAAATGTGTGTTTTTTTTTGCATTTTTATGTGCTTCATTGTTTGGCCTAAGACCTTATGGTACCCGATGGCCGCATTGGATCTCGCATTGTTTGGTTAGATTTTTTACAACGGGTGGCAAAAATGTAAATTTAATAATGATTTTGAGAAAAATATTCTGACTACACAAAATATTCTTCGATCTGTCCCCGACTACGTGAAGAAATCAATCCTATGGTTCAACATATCTGATACTCCCAAGTTATCTTCAGCTCGCATCTCTTTGCATTGCTCGAGTTATTGGTTCTTGTAAATATTGGAGTGATATCAAGATTGCTTCCTGTTTGTGGAGATTATTAAAAAAATTGACTGTGACTACATGAATTTGAGAGTACACGAACAATTAGGCAAAAGAAATACCTCTGTTCGAATTGTTCGACTTCCTTGATGCGGACACGTGTTCAAATACAAGTCGAATATGTCGCGGACATTTTTCCCTGAGCCAAAGAAAAACTTGCTCAGTTTATACTGCACAATTCACCCTAATTTTGAACCGAAATCTTAACTGCGAATGTTTTATTAGGGAAGGTCCTTGTATCTGGAAAGAAAACGAGACGGTACTGTGAATCGCAAGGACAAACCGAGGCTAACCGTCTTCCTATATACCTTTAATTTATGATCTTCATCTACACTCTTCTCCCCCCAAGTTCCACCAAAAGCAATTAATAATGCCTGTCATATTACAATACAATCAAAGTCGAGATGTATCGTGGCACGAAACACTCTATGTTTGTGTATAATTGCTTAACCATCAAGCAATGGATACAAACAAATTAATGAATTAAAGGGACCTAATATGAAGAAAGTATACCTAAATGCAGGTAAATTAAGCTGTGATGAGTTAACAACTAGTCCATGCTCTGATGTACCAATCAAGTGATCATATCCACCCTGCACGACATTATAGAAGCTATCCTGCTGTTAGCGGTTGTACAAAAGAAGAAAATTAAAAGGGATTAGGCAATTTAAACTATGTTATCGAAGTATGA